ATCTTAGTGGGAAATGAGTAATTATCTGGAGACTGCAACAAGATACAAAAACAAATGTTGTTGAGAAACAAACATGATGGTATTTTTAGGCATAATGTGCCTTTAAAACTTGAAAATGCAAAATAGTATGGCTAAGGAAACAAGAAATGAGTAATGAGACCTTGCAGGTCTACAAGGTGTTCAAATTTTTCTTTAACATATAGCCGAGCCGATTTTGCGACTCCGTAAATATCTTTATTACATACTTATAAATGAAATATTGATGAAATCAAATGCGTATTTTTATTTTCCGTATTTTCACTGTTAAAAATTTATTTTTCACTGCAGTGAAACATATTTACCGTATTTTCACTGGTGTTTTGCCGGACTAGTTTCTTCTAAATTCAGTCAATACACAGAATTAAAAGGGAATTCTTCCTATTCATAAGGTTAAAAAAAAGAAAAATTATATTATAATAAACAGAAAATTCAAGTTTTCTCTATTAATAAAGGATTTATTTCATCTTGTGGTATGAAAATTATTATATTTCACTCGTGGCTCCTGCCACTCATGAAATATTCACTCGATGAAAATAAATCCTGTATTTATAGATGAAACTTGTATTACACAGTCGTGACGTCAAATGACACGCTAAATGTAAGCGCGTGAATGTACATATATCAGTTATTTATTTTTATCGTAAACAGTTCCTATTTTTGATATATGGTAAATTAAATATTAAATTCGTGTACACTTCATTACTAAATTTATTGATCAAGTTGAATGAAATAATATTATGCTCATCTCACTATTCAGTATTGATTTTACATGCACTGTATGAATTATTGTTTTAATCAGTTATAAGTGTTATATAGACGGATTGAATATTTCTTATGCTATTTATGAAACTGGTTTGATAAGACAAAAGAAAGATCAAACAGTATTCCAGGTAACCATTGGTGAAGTGGCATGATAGCTCAGTTGGTAAGACTATTGACTGTCACTCCTCTAAATCCCGGATTCGATCCTGGGTAACACCCCTGGGATTTTCAAAGACACTTTCAGTGTGTTCCACCTACCTAGTTGTGTACTGATAAGAAATCAATAAGAAAACCACGCATGTATCAGTGCTGTACATTGGGCATATAAAAGAACCAAGGAGTCTATTCAATAGGAGCTTGGGACTGGTTTCCGGGATTCCCTTGTATCTCATAGCTGTCTCTTAAGTCTAGAGTTACGTCTACGTCCACGTGAGGGATTTTATATTAATGGAAGAATGTCTGACTCCAAGTCTGAGCTGGACCGTCCATTTCCAGACGGTGCTGGAGAACCGGTAAGATTTTATTTTCATTTTGTACATCTACATGATACATCCGAGCATTCAAAACTGACGATAACTGGGAGGCAGACAGGCAGTTTTTGTTTTTGATGATTATACTTTTGTTTCACTATTTTTATTATAAGCAGAGAGAACAATAAAAAACTCACTCTCAGATAGATAACGTTTTACTGAGGTAAATTTTGTTTGGCAGTATTTTGCCCATAAGAACATTAAATATTTCAGACTTTTGGAAATAGTATAAGGTAAACAATTACATGTATATATATATATATAAATATTATATGACCAAAGCCCATATGGCCGATTTTGCTCCGGACAGTCGGAAGTGACATAATTTGCTCCGGATATCGGAAGCCTAGTATGTCTATTCAGACATATTAAACAATTAAAATTAAATTTTAAAAAGAGACAACGTGTTGACAATGTGAAGACAAGAGTAAATCATGATACACAAGTGTCCCGTCATAAAGTAAATTATGAAAGCGGAAAAGCACGTTGGCTCGGAAAATAATGCGAATCCTACATCCCACATCAAAAACATCAAATACAAACCATGGACAAAAATTGATATGCTGATAAATTTTTATGTTCTTTTATTTAAATTAAAATATTTTATAATTGATAACTTTTTTTTTACTTTGTAATTGTTTTTTTTTAATAAATAAATATCTATGTAACTAGTAAGTTGCATATATTTCTTGAAATTTCAAGTGCGTTACTGAGATGATGGTCAATCTGATGTTTATCAAGTATTTATCATGATAATGAAACAAATTTTATGCTTTTTGTAATAGTTATGTTTTCAAATTCATCAATTTGTAACTTAACACTTTACTTTGTTGCAAATCACTATAATTAATAAAATATGTATTCTTCATATTAATATAAACTCAAAGCTTGCCTCCTTCTCATGTAGATATTTCTAAGAATCAGAAATCATATCATATCAGATATTCAAGTCGGAAGTGTCATACTGAATAAATACTCTGGAATAAATAGAACATTTACAGGTACATTCAAGTTTTCTCATGGTATAACTTTGGCAAACCACTTCTATAAATTAGTTTGCATACAAAAAAAATTCATACTTTTATTATTGAATCTTATCATCCTTAAATTAAGTATCTTACAATAAACTACTTCGACTTGAAGGCAGGCGATCTGCAGGTATCTGTCTATAATATATTTACATTTAAGAGTACCAATACTTTAAGCTTGATTTGATGAAGTAGCAGTGATACAAACAAAATAAGTCATTCGACGATTTTTGTAAATTAATAAAATTGTAATAACGATATAATTGCATCATATAAAAAAATCCTGTCAGCCCTGACAGCCATTGTGTCCCTCAGAACCCACGTGCTTCAGGTGGCAAAAGAGAAAATCATATATTACTGTTTTGGTATTTTGAATCTGACGTGAATATAAAACATGACATTCACAATGTAAAAACATGCATTCAAGGTTTATAAGTTATTTAACTTAACTTCATGATAGAAATTAACTCACAAAACAAAATTCTACTTGTTAAAGGGAGAAAACTAGTATAAATAAAAGCATACTGACATGCCAGGGTTGTCTCTCCTATAATAAACTGCACTAATGAAATACAAAACTTTGTATAATGCTTATTATTGAAACTTCAACACCGTGGTAGAGGCCATGGACTGCTGCTCGTATTTACCACTGCTAGCCGCGAGCAGGTTCTAATATGGCATGAAATCCTTTTTTCCAGCCGTTATCAGAATATTTTTTTTTAAATAAAAAAATGCATTTATTTACACTTTACTTTCTATTTGTGTTTAAACTTTCGAACTAAATAAACTTGATAAAATTAATGTAAAGGTTTGTTGGCTTACATATGTGACAAATGGTAACATATATAATGAAGGAAGTTGAATTGTAATATTTTGTCTGAATTAAAATATGTAAGAGTAATTGATAACTTGGTAAGAAACGTTAGTCAAGGTGCTATATATAATGTTCAAGTAGTCATGTAAATTTTATTCATATTTTGCATACAGGTGTCGTTCAAAGAAGTAAAATACAGTTAAGTTGATACTATTTAGCTTAACTATTCAAAGAATAAGGACGGCTTTCCTAGTCCCCAGTCGGCGTCGGCGTTGAGTGTCGACGTCGGTGTAACCACTTATGTTTAAGTCTGCGTACAACCTCAAATAATTTAAAATTCCATTGACATCTGACTCTGAAACTTTGTACACTTTTTCACCATCCTGTCTCCAACATGTACACAGGAGGAATTATTTATATTTAGCATTTTGTCAGAATTATGTCCCTTTTTCGAATTAGAATTTACGTTAAAGTTTGAGTACTACCTCAGATAGTATCAAAGTCCATCGACATATGGGTTTGAGACTTTGCATATTTGTTCACCATTATAATCTCAACCTGGGTACGGGAGGAGATCACTGTATCAATCCTTTTTACATTTTTTTACAATCAAGCACTGAGAATAGTCAAGCACGCTGTCCTACTTACAGCTCTTGTTTAGTTCCTGGTAGTTCCCATTAGGGCAAACTATATTTATATATACAGAGGATGAAGTGAAAACTAGAAGAGACATTTTATCTATTGTTATATTACAAAATGAAATAAAGACCACGCAAAGTATAGAATCAAATATCGTAGGATTATGAATAATTCAGAGTCAAATATAAAACAGCAACATGAAAACGTACAACAGATAAAAATTATTTATAATAAACAAATGCAGATCAAACATTTTTATGGTTTATCTATATTCAAGCGAAATGGTGGATTTTTACAGTCAAACTTAACTTCATGTAGTTGTAAAGGTACAATATTCGCCAATTTGATATCAAAATGGACGTAACCTAAATCAAATTATCAGGTAAGTGCATCACAATAAGAATTTAACCACAATCTATTAGTTAACAAAAACACATGTCAATGTTTAGGTTTAATTCCATAATTATTTAAATAAAAGATCAGAGTAGGGACTATAAAAATGTGCCAAAATCTACGTGAAAGTTGTGCATAAATATATGAAGGTTACACAGCTGTGAGAATAAACAATGTACAATCTGCTTTTAATACTTTTCACGAACTTCTTGTTTACACGTTACACAATATTGTCACCATCAGAAGATAAAAAAAATATTAACATGATAGTGTGTGTATAACCCCTTAATGTTATAAAGCTGTGTAATGGAATCTCTGAATTTGGAACATTCCATTCAAGTTTCACTTATTGTGTCAGAAATTGGCAAATTTATTATTTTTACTGGTTATAATTATTGAATAGTTCACTTGTCTCAAAAGTACCGGCCTAAAATAGCAAATTCGTCCTTTCTGCAAAAGAAATCGATATCTTACACACGCACAATGAGGTAATTTCTAAATTTTCACAGAAAACATCGGTATTTTAGTTATTTTATTATTTACGTTTGCTTGCATTTTATTGGTTTTTATTTTAACAAATTTAAAAATAAATTCAACTTAAAATTGTAAACAGGCTCTTTATTTATAATGATACCTTCATCTTACAATTTGACATATTTTGTTCATCCGCAACTCCACGTGAAATGAAATATCAACACTAATCTAAGAAAGCGTTTTCTAGTTTGTTTGTTTTTTTTTTCGTTTTTTTTCTATATGTGATTCATATTGCGTTATCTTCAAAGTAAGAAATGTTGGGAAGATACGTCGTCTTACTTAGATTTCACAAATTGAAAAATATAAACTTGTACATGAATTATCATGCCACTTAACTCCGTTACTGTACAAAGCAGTAACCAAACAAAGTTCTCCCGATGTGTTGCTTGGCTGACCCGAGTGCCACTTGAAGAATCCTCTTTGAGATCCATATGTGTACTCCCAGGGAGACCTTGCATCTTTACGATGTCCGTCTATCCAGATAAATGTACCAATACTGAAGCCTGTAAGAAGACTACTTACATCTTCATATTTCATTTCCGAGTCGATATTTACCAGATGACCACCATCTTTCTGACACTGCTGCTCTGCAGCATCTTGTTTCACTCCTTTGTCAGCATACAACTTCATACAAAACCCGTTCTTTGTGATATTATACCCATCAGGACAATGCCCAATACAAATTCCAAACTCTTTCTCTGTTCGGCTATTTGAGTCTATCTCACAACTTGTCATATTCACACTGCACCGCCGTGTCCTGAACTTTGAACCGAACTGACCAACTCGAGCCGTGCAACCGAACCACTCCGTCCATTCTGAACAAGGATGAAGGTCGCAGATTTTCTCAACTTCCTTTTCAATATTGTCAATTGTTTTTCCTATCATTTGTAATTTTGGTAATTTTAGCGCTATTCCTATCTCCATTAATTTCTTGCCGTTTAAATCACCAGCATTTGTACCATTCCCATCTGTCAAAGGCGCACTGTCAATACACACAGCAGTTATATAAAGAATAACCAACAACGCCATGATTTTAACGTAACAGCTCATATTGCTTTCCTACGAAATTGTGTTGCTCAGTCTCAGTACTTCTAGGCAGTTTGAATTCAAAATTGAATCTAAGAGTGTGAGATAAATCTGGTATTCATAAATAAATGAATTTGTCTTGAATGTACGCGGCGTACCAAGACACATGTTAACGTATAATTTGGTTGAATTATGGTGTGACGTGATTTACATTTATTTTTCAGCTCGTGGTGTTTGTTGTTGTTGTTGATTTTTGTTTGTTTTTCTTTTCCTGTGTTTTTATGATTTTCCACCGTTTTTGTTGCCCTCCAAGAATATTTTGGTTAATGTTTAATAATTTTGCCCTTTATCTATACTGATTGTTGAATGCTTTAAATTGTTAAAATTGATATTTTCATCGACTGCTGGCTTTTGGCTGCTATTGAACTTCAATAATTTGCATACTGATATTTACATGATTTTCTAGCTTATGGCTGAAATTGGTTTCAATCATTTACATATTTTTATTGACATTGGTTGCTAGTTTATGGCTGATATTGGTCTTCAATCATGTGCAAATTTGTATTCAAATTAATTGCTGGCTTATGGCTGATATTTGTCTTCATGTGCAAATTGGTATTTAGATCGGTTACAGGCTTATGGCTGATTGATATTTACATCAGGTACCGATATATGGCTGTTATTGGTTTTTACTCATGCGCAGAATTATATTTATATTGAGTGTTGATATGCTTGCTAATTGTCATATAAATATATGTATTAAATAAAATATATGCATTCATTTCTTATTGTAAAATTTGACTTAAATTTTATAGAAAATAAATTTCTAATTACCTCCCTTTATTTACATGAAATGTTAAATTCGGTAATATCTTTATAAATAATGTTTTTTGGAACCTACAATATTGATAAATTTTAATTTGAGCATCATATTTATGATTTAAAACCTTAAAAAATGTGTTACAGGATCTTTAAGCCATGAGCAGATTGATATTTACATCGGATGTTAACATATGTATTAATATAAAAAAAAACTCATTTTCATGTATTAGCTACGCACTTGCACTTGTTATAATTTGTTTACTTCAAATGTTAATGTACGTGCACATTAACCGAGAACGGGAAGGTTATCAGACAGGAAATAATTTATTTTCGCATTTCCCATGAACTATAATATTTACAATATAGTGATCTGGAGTTACAAAGTTGGATTAAGGTATTCCACCGAACACCTTGTTATTATATTTACCTTGCATTATTAATTCTTCTTGTTATATAGACGGAAAACGACGGAGTTTGCCGAAATTGTACGAGACTATAGTGGATGCAGCGCCTTATCCTTTCAGTCACGTTTTCATCCCACGAAACCATTTTTATGCCAGCTTATCATACGTATATCTTCATCCTGAAACGTTTACCACGAACTGATATTATCTTTATCACGTTTCCAAGAAAATAAGACATGTGGTTTACGAAATTGCCACTTTCTTAATTTTTTTACCGTCTGCTTCTAGCTAATATTTCTAGTATGCTGCTATTTCTTAATGAGAAAATAAATTCATGCTGTTTTTTAACAATACTATACTGAAAATATGTTTTCTGTTTTATATATTCATTGTTTGAAGGTTTTCAGTATTCGGAAAACATAACCTCATTTTTTGGCTTACTTTCCAAGTTCAATTTAGTATTTGAAGATAAGGACGTTTCAGTAACGTTTAAGTTGTGATTTACCAGATTTATGATTCCATTGATAAGATTGTAAGATACTGTGTCATCGAGCACCTGCAAAATTCTCCCATTTCCACTGTTTTTTTGTCGGCTCGAAGATTTTTTCTTTAGTTCCAAGAAATCGTTACAAAACATGTATCAAAAATTATTTAAGCGCACAGAAGATTGGCTTTTATTAAAAAAAAATTGAAAAAAGGTGAGTTTAAAGTTTTACTGTCTGGTTAAAGCCTTAACGATTTCTTAGAATAAAAACATATTTTATCTGCGAGTCGACCGGATGTTTACCAAAAAAACCACACACAACAACAAAAACAGCCCGATTGAGGGCATTTTGCAGATGCGCGATGACGTATTATCATATGTTTCGGAGTCTTATCTCTGTGGAACACTGATATGACTTGTTATTTATACTTAACGGATGCTCCAAAATCCTGTACAACATTAAAATCTTTAAGGTAAAAATAGTAATAACAATTCTGATCTGCTTCGAGTTGCTTGCTTTACAAAATCGTTGTGCAAGAAGCGGAAAATAGTGGAGCGTGTTAATATATCTGGTTTTAGTCAATTCAACAAAAAGAGCAATAAGCAAAAAACATACCTTTGGCACCGGTAGGAAGTTAGCAGTAGCAGTGAGCAGTAGCAGTAGCAGTAGCAGTAGCAAATTTATAAAACGTGAAGTTGGCAGTAGCAGTAGGGCAGCAGTAGCAGTAGCAAAATTATAAAACGTGAAATTGGCAGTAGCAGTAGCTCAGCAGTAGCAGTAGCAAAATTATAAAACGTGAAATTGGCAGTAGCAGTAGCTCAGCAGTAGCAGTAGCAAAATTATAAAATGTGAAGTTGGCAGTAGCAGTAGCTCAGCAGTAGCAGTAGCAAAATTATAAAACGTGAAGTTGGCAGTAGCAGTAGGACAGCAGTAGCAGTAGCAAAATTATAAAACGTGAAGTTGGCAGTAGCAGTAGGACAGCAGTAGCAGTAGCAGGAAACGTGAAGTTAGCAGTAGCAGTAGCACAGCAGTAGCAGTAGCAAAATCATAAAACGTGAAGTTGGCAGTAGCAGTAGGACAGCAGTAGCAGTAGCAAAATTATAAAACGTAAAGTTGGCAGTAGCAGTAGGACAGCAGTAGCAGTAGCAAAATTATAAAACGTGAAATTGGCAGTAGCAGTAGTACAGCAGTAGCAGTAGCAAAATTATAAAACGTGACGTTGGCAGTAGCAGTAGCTCAGCAGTAGCAGTAGCAAAATTATAAACGTAAAATTGGCAGTAGCAGTAGCTCAGCAGTAGCAGTAGCAAAATTATAAAACGTGAAGTTGGCAGTAGCAGTAGCTCAGCAGTAGCAGTAGCAAAATTATAAAACGTGAAATTTGCAGTAGCAGTAGCTCAGCAGTAGCAGTAGCAAAATTATAAACGTGAAATTGGCAGTAGCAGTAGCTCAGCAGTAGCAGTAGCAAAATCATAAAACGTGAAGTTGGCAGTAGCAGTAGCTCAGCAGTAGCAGTAGCAAATTTATAAAACGTGAAGTTGACAGTAGCAGTAGCTCAGCAGTAGCAGTAGCAAATTTATAAAACGTGAAGTTGACAGTAGCAGTAGCTCAGCAGTAGCAGTAGCAAATTTATAAAACGTGAAGTTGGCAGTAGCAGTAGGACAACAGTAGCAGTAGCAAAATTATAAAACGTGAAATTGGCAGTAGCAGTAGCTCAGCAGTAGCAGTAGCAAAATTATAAAACGTGAAATTGGCAGTAGCAGTAGCTCAGCAGTAGCAGTAGCAAATTTATAAAACGTGAAGTTGGCAGTAGCAGTAGCTCAGCAGTAGCAGTAGCAAATTTATAAAACGTGAAGTTGGCAGTAGCAGTAGCTCAGCAGTAGCAGTAGCAAAATCATAAAACGTGAAGTTGGCAGTAGCAGTAGCTCAGCAGTAGCAGTAGCAAAATCATAAAACGTGAAGTTGGCAGTAGCAGTAGCTCAGCAGTAGCAGTAGCAAATATATAAAACGTGAAGTTGGCAGTAGCAGTAGGACAGCAGTAGCAGTGGCAAAATTATAAAACGTGAAATTGGCAGTAGCAGTAGCTCAGCAGTAGCAGTAGCAAAATAATAAAACGTGAAGTTGGCAGTAGCAGTAGCTCAGCAGTAGCAGTAGCAAAATCATAAAACGTGAAGTTGGCAGTAGCAGTAGCTCAGCAGTAGCAGTAGCAAATATATAAAACGTGAAGTTGGCAGTAGCAGTAGCTCAGCAGTAGCAGTAGGAAATTTATAAAACGTGAAGTTGGCAGTAGCAGTAGGACAGCAGTAGCAGTAGCAAAATTATAAAACGTGAAATTGACAGTAGCAGTAGCTCAGCAGTAGCCGTAGCAAAATTATAAAACGAGCATTGAGCATTGACATGAATAATACATTTTCAACAAATCATGTATTACAACTTCCATAATATGACTATTATCAGTGTTAATTTTTAGTTAATACAAATTTATTTTATTTTGTTATTAAACATCAATTGGTAAAAAATAACACTATAAACTGGGTTGAGTAAAGCAGTCAATCTAACTTATGGGGACATGTTACAGAAAGAAGGAAGACAATTGTATATAATTATATTGTTTTATCATATATGTAATTGTATTTTAGAGAAATTTTAAATTTACAACCGAAGATCGGTTGCCTTCGTAATGCCTGCCGAACACTTCTGAATACTCCAGGTAATCGATTTCATGACCGAACATAACATAATTTATCAATAAATGATTTATATATGATGTACGTCTTTTTTCAAATTTACAAACTGGACAGGATTTCTTTTTTTTTTCATTAAACGAGGAAACTTTAACTTTCAATCTGGACATAGGTGCGTAATTCGACATATAATTTTCGACATTTTCACTTTTCATAATATTTTCTGTAGTTGGTAGTATTAATCGGGTTTTATTTTTTTTCCAGCAAATCAGGAAGAACTGATCTTTGGTTAATGCACATGCAAACGAAAACATGATGAAAATTAATTTCTTCTAAAAAACCCAATTTTATGTTGATTCGAAGACATGTGTCAAGATATCAGATGTGGTGTATTTCCAAATAACTGGTTTCTTACATTAGAGTAGATTGAATAGGACGGAGCTATGAAAAATGATACTCTGATGCTAAGATATTTATTATATCACTTAGGAATTGGTGTTGATAAGCAAGACATACAAAATACAGCGTTTTGTTTACTGTCTATTGCTTGCTGTGCATATTTTAAAGCAATAATATCAAAACATTCCGAATATTGTGATAACGTTACAACAAACAGTGTACTGTCAACTGCCTATTTCTAACTATTTTTTTCTTGTTTCAAAATAAAAAATCTATTGCAATCACATTGGTCAAAGAACTATATATACAGTTGCCGAAA